CTGATTGGTCAAGTATTAAAATGTATAGTTACATATACACTGCATATAACATAGAGTTGCTGGTGAAACTAAATTGTGCTGGTGAAACTGGTGACTATCTAAACTCTGATTGGCTATTGCACTTAATAGCCAATCAGATTTTAGATAGTCACCGGTTTCACCAGCACAATTTAGTTTCACCAGCAACTCTAATATAACAGCTGACTTTGAACGAATTGTTTGTCATGAAAACGAATTGTTAAAGAATGCGACACCTATATTCTGAAATTACACCTTTCAATTTATATGCAGTAAAAATAATCCGGAGAACAGACAATTAATTCAAAAGTTAGCGAGGGGTGCGCTTTCTGGCTTATAGGTTATAGATTTGGTAACAAGCAAGTTAAAACCTTTGCTAATAAGTGTTATTGTATGCTTTTTCAAACTTGTTAATCTAAAAATAACGTTTCAAACAATAATGCTTACAGTTAGCTTTTTTGTTATTTTTTTTGTATATAGGTTATTCGACCAAGTTTTTTAAAAGCTACAATATTAAATATAGAACGTATATGGGCATATATGATTACACGCTATATTTTGTATTTGGTGTTTGGTTTTTTATGCTACCTGTACTCTCCATAAGCGCATATTACACTTATTGATAGTTGGCAGTTCTTTTTAATTCATTTCTATTAATTATTATTTATTTTGTATTAGCTAGCAAGCGATTTGGTTAATAAAAATTATCTACATATATATCTATTGAATTATTAAGTTTAAAGACTTTTTTTTTATTAATTTGACTAGATATGCATTTGCAAAGACTGTCGGGGTTCAAGTGTTAAGTATTATCAATATAAATTAAAATTTATAATTTAGATGTCTTTTGCTTAATAACTTCTAAATTTTTTTTTACTTCAAACTCGTTTTCTATTAGCCAATCATATTTTGTAACGTCACAAAATAATCTGCAAAAATTAGCCAATCTGAATTTAAGCCATTGTGCTAGTTTTCATTTATAACACTTAATCAAGGGTATTTCTAGGCATCTCTGGCCAGAGATGCCTAACAATAATATTTCAGACCTAAAAGCCAATTAAAATACTAAATAATCACATGCAGCCATTTTCATGTAACACAAAGGATGATCATCATGGATCAGTCTGACAAAACAAAAACAACAACAAAAAGCGTGAAAAAGTAAAGAATATGAAAAATATCAAAAATGGCTATCTAAACCTATTTCGGGTTACTAATTAAAAGTGTTGGGAAGGTGATTTTGCTTATATGACTTGCTTTTGACCTAATCCTATATAACCTAACCCTAATTAAGTTATTTGATTAGGCATAGCTTCATGCCAGAGATAATACATAGGTGTTTAAATTATTTTACTCTTGTCGTAAATTTAAATAGCTAAATTATTTTAGACAGCCTAAATCATAAATAATTAAGGCTGCAAAATTATTTTAGGTCTTGAAAATATTTTAGGATGTCTAAAATATTTTTGGATATCTAAAATATTTTTGGATGTCTAAAATATTTGGATGTCTAAATTATTTTAGTATGTCTAAAATATTTTAGAATGTTTAAAATTTTTAGAATGTCTAAAATATTCTGAATATTAAAAATTAAATATTTAAAATTTGATGAGATTTTACAGCATCGAAACCAATCTTTAGATTAATAATCTTAAGAATTGAATATATTAAATGTTTGTGAAGTTTTCTACTACAACTTTTATATTTTAGTATATTATAGTTGACTTGGGATAGAATTATCATTCTAATAGAACTTGGAGTATAACGAACTTAAAATATTAAAATTTCATAATAGTTCGATAGTGCCATGGGTTCTTAAAAAGGAAAAGTAATTTTCTATAATGAACTTATATTTTTTTTAGAGTTGTCAGTTCATTATAAAAAGAGTTGACTGTGTACTAAATATTAAAATATCATGAAATTTTAAATATAATAGTAAGATAATGTTCATATACTATATATTATTTATATATATAATAAATGAATATACATATATAATAAATGAATATACATATATAATAAATGAATATACAAATATAAAAAATATATATATAATAGCTATATCATACTAATAGATATAATGCTAAATAATGTTTAAAGCTAAAAACTAAAACATTTATGCTTCCTTAAATATATTGATAACTGCTTTGATATCATAATCATATACATCATTTTCAAGTTCCAAATTATTAGTTTTTTCATTTATTTTTTGATCCAAAAATACATTAAAATTTAACATCTCTTCGATGTTTAGATTTTCACTATCAAATTATAAAAGATTATTTAAATCCTTAGTATCAGAAATATAATCATCATTGAGATCTTCATCTTTGATATTATTATTAAACATATCATCATCGAATTCAACTATATTTGCATAATTTTCCATAACTTGCTCAAATTCTGACTAAGAAACCGTGTGATTAATGTAGTTAAGTTTATTTTGAGTATTAGTTATATAATAAGTATACAATTTTGCAATATTTGATACTTTCTCTACAGTAATTCTATTAAAATAATAATAGATTTAATAAATTATTTACCATATAGATTAATATATCTAAAGATACTATTTTTATGCTTCAGACAAAAAATATTAAAATTACATATACCTGCTTCATCTTTTTTGTGTTATCCAACTTAAAATTAAGAATATTCACTTACAACTTGCACTATGCGGAGTAATTGCCAACAAATGCAATGCAAGTTTCTGTAAATAATGATCTGAAAGCTTACATCTGCACTACCAGGTTTTTGGAGATTCAACTTATTTCACAAAAGTATAATTATATAGTGGTGTAAATGTGTTATACATTTTAATTTGTACAACTAATATATTTGCACTTGTTAATCTACTACTAATTTTTTTCTAAATTTCGAAAGCTGTATACAAAATTTGATAAAATACTGAATCTCTCATATTTTTTTCTCAATATTTTAGGTGAAGAAAATAAGCTAAAAGATAAAATTTTATATTAAACTCTTTCTAAAGTTTGTTATAAAATTGAACACATTGTTTACGAAATTCAATACGTTCTGGTAAATCATTTTTTTTAAATACATTAATAGCTGTTGCTATTTGAACAAGAAATAGAAAAATATCAGCAGTTATTGTAGCTTTAGATTCAACAATTTTAATAGCATTTTTGGCAGAAGATAAAACTTTTGCTAAAACTTTAGCATTTGCCCAAAATTGCTGATTTTGTGTAAGTTTTCATAATTATAATGTCATAGCAAACTCATCATCATCTAAAATCTAAAAATAATTATTTATTAAATTATTTAATTAAGTATATGTTAAATAAATATATAAAAATTATATATATATATGTTCATAGAAAGACTTTCATATGATTAGCTATTTAAATCAATTTAATTTTACATTATTTATACAATTTAAAGTACT